CCCTAAGCTAAGAGGGCAACAATTTCTACATTGGTTGAGACATTTCCCAATGTTATTAAGTTCCAGTTCACTATAGTGCTAATTTTCCTGATGATGCCTACTTTGTTGTCTTCCTTTCCTTCTCTGTGTCCCTTTCCTGCTATTTCCCTAAAGATGTTTGCTGGACCAAACAGAAGACAGATTTGGGCTAGAATCCCAACACTGCCGTTTTGAACAAGTCATTTAATATCTCTGAGCTTTAGTTTTCTAATCTTTTGGACAGATATAATAATTCCTAAGTTGTCATGATCACTAATGAAATAATGAATCAGAATGCACGTGGTCATTGTACCTGTTCCACAAATTGGTGCATGTAAATGAGACAGAAAAATGTGCCACCCCACAGAGTTTGAAGTACAGATAGCTGTCAGTGAAATAGTAATCAGATGCTAACCTACTAACAGGAAAACCCTCGCCTGGGCTCCATTCTTGCTAACTCCCATTACAACATGGTTTATTCCTAACTAGAACATGACTTTGAATTACAAGAATTATGAGTTGCTAATTCCTTCTCCCCTTTCTCTCCCTATATGCACACATTTAAACACACATCTAAATCTGATTTAACAAGCTTGTATTTTATTGAGTCATTTTTGATTTTACTGAATTATCTTATATAACCAAAGAGATTTAGTCTGGGTTTTCCTTAAATTTCATATTTTTATTCCTAGCCTAAAATACCTATTAACTTACCAAATGCTAATGTAAATCAAACTTTCCAGGAATGCATCTGTTGTAGAAAACAGGTCACACCTGTACAAATTGTGAATGCACAATATAATTAGTAAAACTGTGTATGTTTTTGTACAAAGCCCTAGAGAATCAAATAATAAGAAATTCCTTTTTAGTGTTAAATGTGTATATTTGAGCAAAACACTAGGCCCATGGTCAGTATGTACTGATAAATACACATAATGAATTATCAGGAGAATTATCTACTTTTCTAGGTATGCTCATTCAGAGTCATTCTCTCTTTGAGATTGACTGATCACTTATTTATTTCACAAATCTCTATTCATGTAATCTTAATCTATTTTAGTAACAACAGCATTATTGTGGGATCTCTTGTTTTTATCATGTGGCAGTGTTTGCAGCATATTTAGATTCTACTGCATGTTCTGTGTGCTTTTTCCTTCAAAATGTTCTTTAAAAAAAAAAATGAGCAGAAGCAGACAGACTGTTCCAGGACATCCCTTCCTTTAGAGACATGAGTTCCTCCAGCTTAAAAAAAGACTGGATTCCAAATTGGTTAAATTGCTTCTTCTGTACAGTGAAGGGACATGTTGTCTGACTACAGTGGAACATGTGCTCTCATTTCTGACAAGCTGTTCTGTGAAGAAGTTTTATTTAGCCCACATAGCCAATCCCTGGATTTGTGGGTGTTACCTCCTTTCCAAGTTACCAGTTTTTTTCATGATCATTATTACTTCTGCTAAGTCAGCTGTAACACAGTTTAGTAGCAACCCTTTTTAGAAAACAAGATGTTTCTCAAAATAGATGGAACAGTTGGCCAGACAGAAAAGAGATACAGTATCAACAAGAAGTAGGTCTGTTGTTCATCTGTGTGTTGCTCCCTGGACCACTCTGAGAGGCAATCTCACACATATGTCAAGGAACTGGCATCAAGTGAGGTTATCATCTCTTATCCTAACATAAATTTATACCCTATTTTATTCAGAAAATCAATTGATATGAAAACTGATTTGGTCCAGAGAATACTTACATGTTTCATTTTTTTGTTCAAATTAAGACTCTTAAGCAGATGTACTAGCTAGCTTTTTTTACTTTTTTCATAAGATAACTTGGAATTCCATAAGTAAATAAGTGCTTTAATTCAACTAAACATGAACAAATGGGTCCAGTTGTATGTATATTCATGTTCTGACTGTGTAGCAGAGCCAGCTGAGAAGAAGCAGGAGCTTTAGGGTGGATTTTTGTTTGTTTGGTTTTTGGTTTTTTTCCCTCTATGCATCAACTAAAATAAAAATTAGGTCATGCAGTATTTACTCTCAGGGCAAAGTGACATTTTTCAGCTGCTTAGATTTCCCTATTATTAGCAGAAATGACCAATGTGGAACAAAGGGACAAGCCCCTTTAATCACTTATTTGTCATGCAGAGATGATATGACATTCCTTTCAGAGCACAACTGGGATGACTCCTGAAAAACAGACAGCCTATCAGTTACCCAACATCTCATTGTTGTCCATACTCAACAATGATCAATCAGATGCCCATGAGAGCGCTGTTCTGCAGCAGTCTTCCTCCTGAACAAGATGAAGAATACAGATGCCATCCCTGCTTCCTTATTTTTCCAATGTGTCTTGACTGCCTTCCCACAGAGCACAGAAGTCTAACAAAGTGTTCCAGTGCCCACCTGCTTTGCTTTTGTGATATCTCTTTCTTTTTAAATAAGTTGTCTTTATTTCTAAATCATTTTTTCCTTAAGAGATTAAGCTAAGTTTTACTAAGTCATACTTTATTACCTCTTCCTCCTTCCCATCATTTAAAATTCTAGAACAGAGTTTTTAATCTAGGTCCTTGGACTAGGCATATTTGAAAGAGCTCTAGGAAGCCACAGGCCACTTGAAAATTTGTCCAGAATTGTGTGTGTGTGTGTGTGTGTGTGTGTCTCCCCAGGCACACATTGTTCTGAGAAAAGAAGTCACAGCTTTCTTTAGATTCACAACTCTCCAAATTTAAGAACTATTGTCTGCTGGATCTTCTTCCTGTGTCTATAAGTTAGGCAATGCTTAATTATATCACATCTTACTACAGTGTTCTACCCAATAAATTTTGTCACCACTTTTCTTTTTCCATTACCGTTCATTTCTGGCTTCATATTTTCTCTTACCTGTCTGAATTTTGTGATGGTATGTTCCAATTTAAGTAACAAAAGAAGGCAACAACAATGATAGTGTACCCCAAATCTCTGCCAGTAGCAGTGGTTGGCATTTTCTTCACATGTCATCTCATTTAATGCTGGTGCAACCTTACAAGTTAGAATCTCTATTTTTAAAAATGAGAAAACAAACTTAAAGAGGTTTGTGATTCCTACAACATATAGATAGCAGAGTATAGACATAAATCTGGGTTTGCATCTAGCCCTTATACCTTCCATGAAACTTTTCTAGAAAGGGTGAATAGCTGCAAACTATTAATGGGATCATCTTTTATAGCATAAAGTTCTTACATTTTATTATCATTTCTTATCATCAAAAATGTTCTTATTATATTCTGTGTATAAATCCAATACAAATTTACAATGTTCATGTGTTTTGTATCTGCATAAGTGTTATCATCTAATCTCACACTATCATAAAGATAAGAACCATTTATCTATTCATGAATGCATTTGCTTTTTAAAATAACACTTATTAAATTCTATTATTGTCTGGTGTTTGCTAAGTTCTAGAGTATAGTGAGTTTAAGTCCTCCTTTCACATTGGCTTTTACTGGGGAGCTTTTAAACCATACCAATAACTGGACATGGCACCAGAAGTTCTGACTTAATTAATTGAGGTGGAGCCTGGGCATTGTATTTTTAAAATTTCCATCTGCAGCCAGCTTGAGAACCACTGTTATGGAGTGGTACTTCTTCAAAGTGTGGTCTAGCAGCAGCAGCAGCAGTAGCATCATTTGGGAACTTGTTACAAAAGCAATTTTTTCAGCCTTTTCCCCAGCCTCCCCACTTACTATACCAGAAATGCCAGGGATGGGACCTGGCAATCTGTTTAACAAGCCCTCTAGATGTTTCTGATGCAAACAAAAGATTAGGAAACGCTTCTCCAGAGACAGGGTGAACTGGGCACAGTACTCACCACTGAGCATTTCTCCTGGGTCTCAGGGAACACTCAGCTGCTTCAAATTTGCATTTTAATTACCCAGCACAGTTCCATAGTCTAAAACTTTAAAGTATTATTACTGCTTAAAAAATGTTATGTTTTTCCATCTCTTCCTTGACAGTCATTTAGTGAAATGTTTATAAGAAAGTGGTGGTTTGTGAATAATATCCATTAACCAGTGTTATGAACCTTACTTCCATATTACATAGAGAGACACAGAGAAGTATAAAATATTATGATTATAAAATATAAAATCTTAAAAGGCAAATATTTTCAATAAAGGATTTTAATGTAAGTCATTGTGTTGTGTTAGCATTTTAGATAATGCTGTTAATATTATATTGACTATTCTCTCATCTTTGTTAATATATATTTTAATAAATGATCACAATATAATTGATATACAATAGACATTTAAAGCATTTAACCTGGTAAAATTTGACACATGTACACAAGTGTAAAACGACTGAAGTGGGCATCAAGTTCCATTACAGGTATCCGTTACTTAGGCAAGTTTCCTCCCAACCAGAAATGCAAAATGAGGTTGCAGAGACTCTTCCCGAATGAGGAAACATAAGCTGGGGTTCATAAAGCCACTAAATATCAGTCCAAATGAATGGGGAAAACGGGGAAGGGTCTTAGAGAACAGAAACAAAGCCCACCTCACCCTGTGAACTTTAGACTCTCATGGTTCCTGTAGATTTTAAAATTCCATGTAGATTTTAAAATAGGCAACCCCTTTATTTCTTAAATTTTCCATTGAGAGGAGCTTAACGGGGCTAGTGAAATTCACAGTACCATTGCAGAGAGTAGCCGTCCCTAATTCAAGCTCTGCAGGTAGTTTCTTGCTGTAAGGTAACCCGTTTTGCTTTGGCCACCAGTCCATTCTCAAATGTGTATTTCTCTGCAGTGTGTATTATACAGAACAGTGTGCATAAAAATAATGTCTTTGTTTTTCATAGCAATAAAATCTGATACCTTGCCTTAATTTCCTTTTAACTTTCTTTCATGTTTTCCTAGAGCAAATTATTCTGTCCCTGTTTATCATTACACAGACATTGGCTAATGCCAAGATTTACTTTTCAATCTGAAATTTTTTATTCTTTTCCTTATTGCAGGTTGGCTCCACGAGTTGGGAAAGAGACTGGAATCTCCCTACTATGGCAACAATACCTTGGGGGGCCCGTCCATCCGAAGTGCCTATATCGCCGCTCTGTACTTCACTCTTAGCAGCCTCACCAGCGTGGGGTTTGGGAACGTCTCTGCTAACACAGATGCAGAGAAGATCTTCTCCATCTGCACCATGCTGATTGGTGGTAAGGTAACTCCTTCTTTTAGACCAAGAAAAGGAATGTGTGTCTGCCAAACATTCTGTTTGTGCTGTCCTGAAACACAATGGAGAAAAATTGGTCAAATTTGAAAGATTCTAAAAGCACTAATTAGGAAATCAGTGACAAACCTTATAATGCACATATAAATTAACAATGAAAGCCTGTGATGTTAATGAATTTCATTTTCTGGACAGATGAATAAGCACCTGATGGTTGATTTTGAAAGGTCAAGCACAGTGTTTTCTTAACATTCTGTTTACCTCCTGTGTTTGGGAGTTACATGAGTCTGAATTTGCCGGGGTATATTTGAAACTTTATTCTGTGGTCCCAAACAGATCAATGTTTTCAAATTTTGTTAATACTAATGTAGTAAGAATGTTTGCTAGCTCATTTGATTAAAAATAAAAACCAATTTTTCACCAATTATAATAATATTATTGCACCAATGTAATAATAAGTAGTTAAAATTTATTAATCACTTCTATGTTCCATTCTCTGAGCTAAATGCTTTAGTGCAATATCATAAGCAATTCTTAAGGTAAATTTTGGGGTTTGACATTATTATCCTATTTAATAAAAAACAAGTATTACTGTTTTCTCTAAGCCTCAGACCACTCTTTTGTACTCTTCTTTGCCAACTAACTTTATTGACTTCTGCCAATACATGGCACCAGAGGGAGACTGGCAGGCTGGAGGAGGGGAGAAGGCAGGCTGCTTCTGCTGTCCAGGCTTTGCAACTGTGGAGGCAGCCCGCCTCAGTGGCTTTTAGCTCTCAGACTCTTAGGCACTCCTAGAGCCAGCCTCCTTGGGCCTCCTCAGAAATCCCAGCATCAACTGGGGGTACCAGCACCCCAAAGTTAGAGTCATGGCTTCTTGAGGCTCTTCATAATTCCTCCTCTGAGCACTTATGTCACTTCTTCCCTTTCTAGATCCAGCTCTTAGGTTAGTTGCACCTCTTCATTTATTATGTCTGCTGTACCTTTATGCTCCCTTTTGGCTCATTCAGCCCTCCAATGCCAGGGAAACAACTCTTCATAAAAATGTCCTCTACTGAAATACTTAGCATGATTTCTCTTTTCTGAACCTCCTAACCAATGTAGGATAGATACTAGTATTATCCACCTTTTTCAAATGACTAGTCTAAAGCTTTGGAAATTAAAGTAACTTCCCCAACACCACACAACCATTAAGAGGCAACATTTGAACCCTGTTGAATGCATCTCTCTTTAAAACATAGAAGGAAATTTTGCTGAATAATAAGACTGCTGTTAAGGAACAGGAGTGAACATGAACAATTACCTGGATTAAACATGGCTTGTAGGCCAGAATTTTTGTTAGTATTTTCTGACCCAAACTATTGCTTCAGAAGACTGTGCCACATTCTCTAATTGGCTTTCATTCCAGATATCAGATAGAGTTTTGAACCTTATAGTAGAAAATGTGATATTGAGCAGTATGGGGGACTCAAGAGATTCATCATTTAGCACACAGTGAAATCAAAGTGTAAAACCAAACCTGCCCTCAAGGAGCTGATAAGCCGGTTTGGAGGAGATAGGATGAAACATCTGGAAAGAATTTGGAGGATGCTGGACAGGAGAGAATAAGTGCCAAATCAGGAAGTTCAGAAGCAGTGAGTAGGAGAGCCAGGATAGGGAGCATTTCTTGGAAAGGCAGTGTTTGCGGCAGAGTTGCTGAAGTAGCATGCTGGGACTGCAGCAATCTAACAGGCTCTTGGCTGATGCCAAGCAGTCACAGCCTAGGGAGCAGAGAACAAGAATTCTTATTTTCTGAAGAGCTACACTGTGCCAGACCCTGTGGTGGCTATTTCATCTCCAGTGTTATGACTTATATAATTTCCACTCTCCCTTGATGGCCCATCTTTCTGCCTAGCAAAATGACAAGCATTTTGCAAATAAACACCGTCTATACTTATTTAATGTTGGCCCATGTTTCTTCTACTCTTGATGGAAATGTTGGGAAAGGCTCAAAGGCTCAAGGCTTAAGCCTCCTAATTTAATATTTGAAAAATCTGCTAAATAGATGAGCTTATTCTCTAGTGATCCGCCTACTACATTGTGAGTGCTCCTCAATCAGAAATTGTTAAAGCATAAGCTATTTCCTGCTGTTCACTCAAGGTAGGAGCTCCACCAGTCACAAGGCCCAAAGGCACAGGAAATAATCTGATAATGTCTCTTGTCAGTTCTTTGTTAAATGTTTATTGAGCAAATTCCCTGGGATAAAATCCTGGTACAGTGCTCATGGATAAGTGGTATTAAAACTTTAGGTGACTTCAGCAGCACTCTGCTTTTGAATGTTACATGGCATCTAAGAGACTTGACTTTACTGGTTAAAACTCTCTAAATTTGCATTTAGGCTAAGACAAATGATGCCTGCATTTTAGTATTTCCTCATTCACTAATTACTTGTGTAACATGGAGAGCTAATCATAAAAGCACGTGATATAAAGCACTTTGTTCATTTAATTCTCATAATATTATAAGATGGAAATTATTAATACCCTAACCTAGACATAAGACCCCAAAGGTTTAGTGAGTTTAAATGTCAGGACTCCCTGGCAAAGTTATTGTAAAATATCCATTTCATTATATACTAGAAATTAATTTTATTTATTTAATATTTATAAATATACACAAATAATTTATTTTTTAAAAGAAAACAAATTTAAACATATGTTACTATGGACTTAAGTCTAGGATATCGCATTAAGAATCCCCACACAAGGCTGATGAAGTTGCTTATGGTAAAAATGCAATAGCTACTACAAATAGGCAGTAGCAATATTATCTGTCAAAATCCCAGATAGTTAATTAGGGCAAAGGTACATAGAAGCTGGGTGAAGAAAAATGAGCAGGGAAAAAAAATGGACCAATCTGGGAAGACTCTGAGAGCCTGAAGAATTTCCTCAGGAGTTCCACAGTTGTATTTATCCTTCATATATATTAAACTTCCACTTGAAGATACTATTTAAGCTTCCATATAAGCATCTGTAATTATGGACTGTGAAACCACTGATATATGGAATGAATATTTCAAACTGTAAAAGAGATTAAGCAAAAATAATTTTAAAATTCTCACCTAGAAAACTGTATATGGACTTTGAGAACATGCATAACAAAAAAGAATTCTAAAAGCTTCAGACAACAATTAGAATTAATAAGTAAATTTAGTAAGTTAATATATATAAGATCCATATATAAAAATCAATTTTATGCATGTAGACTGATGACAACTAATTAGAAAAAATGAAATGTAAAAAAGCAATTGCAAAAGCATCCAATATGGACAAATAAACTTAATTAGTACAGTACAACACTTCTACACAGAAAACTGCAAAAAAAAAAAAAAACAGGGAGAAAATTTACAATGTTTTTTAAATAATGGAAAGATATACAATGGTAATGGTTGGTGATGATGGACTTGGTATTGTAATGATATAAGTTTTGCCCAAACTAATGAAAAATTCAATGTAATCCCAATAGATTTGTGTTTGGGTGCACGTGAGTTACGTGTGTTTGAAAACTGACGAGCTGTTTGCAAAAGCTAGTGCAAATGAAAAGAGCTAAAACTAATAGAAATAACCATGAAAAACAAAGAAAAAAAGATTTGCACTACAAATATCAAGATGTATTAGAAAGTAATGGCAGTTACGGAAATGTGGTGTTGGCTGCAGAATAGATGGATAGGTCAAAAAAATGGACTAGAGTTCAGGAACACCCACACATTTACAGCCACTTTATTTATGACATGGGTGGTACTGCAGTGCAAAGGGAGAACTGGTAGCAGTTTTAAATTATTGAAACTGGCAGCAGTTTCAATAAATGTTGCTGGGTCAAACATATATCCATGAGTTGAAAAACAATCTTGATGCCTCTTACAACTGTACAAATTAGTTCTGAATGAATTCTGATATAAACATGAAAAATAGAATAATAAAGCTGCCCAAAGGGGAATTCAAGAGCATGTTGTCATGACCTTAGATTTAGCAAAAATTTTCTAAACATGAAATGAGTTCCCTAAAAGAATGATAAATCAAACTGCAGAACTTCTCTTTATCAAAAGACAGAGCAAGAAGAGCTGAGCTACAAGGTAGGAGAAAATAGTCACAAACATTTATCTGACAAAGAACTCTTATATATTATGTTTAAAGAACTTATATAAATTCACACACACAACTTTAAAAGTTCACAGAAACTTGAAAAATCACTTCAAAAGTAAGGGGTTTTTTTCAGACTTTTTAGAATATTTTTTATTTGCTCTAATTAGTTATCCATGATAGCAGAATGCATTTCGATTCATTGTACACAAACAGAGCACACATTTTCATTTCTCTGGTTGTACATGATGTAGCATTGCACCACATGTGCCATCATACATGTGCCTAGGGTAATGATATCCATCCCATTACACCATCTTTCCTACTCCCATGCCCCTTCCACTCCTCCTTCCCCTTTACCCAATCAAAGTCCCTCCATTCTCCTCATGCCCGTCCCTATTATAGGTCCACATTCACTTAACAGAGAGAGCATTTGGCCTTTGGTTTTTTGGCATTTTGGCTTACTTCACTTAGCATGATATTCTCCAACTCCCTCCATTTACCTGCAAATGCCATAATTTTATTCTCTTTTAATGCTGAGTAATATTCCATCGTGTATATATACCACAGTTTCTTTATCCATTCCTCTATTGAAGGGCATCTAGTTTGCTTCCACAGTTTAGCAATTGTGAATTGTGCTGCTATAAACATTGAAGTGGCTGTGTTACTGTAGTATGCTGTTTTTAAGTCTTTAGGATATAGACTAAGGATTGGGATATCTGGGTCAAATGGTGGCTCCATTCCAAGTTTTCTAAGGAATCTCCATACTGCTTTCCAGATTGGTTGCACCAATTTGCAGTCCTACCAGCAATGTATGAGTGTACTTTTTCCTGACATCCTCACCAATACTTATTGTTGCTTGTATTCTTGA